TTACCAAGACTGGTTCGTTGAAATCTCCTAATTATTGTGGAACTGTCTGTTTCTCTTTTCAGTGCTGTTTGGGTTTGTTTTACGGATTTTGGAGCCCTGTCATTGGGTGCATAGATTTTTATTAAGGTTATGTTTTCATGGTGGATTGTCACTTTAATCTTTATATCATGTCCTTCCTTGTGTTTTATGGTTGATTTTGCCTTAACGTCTATTTTATCTGAGACTACTATTGTGACTGCTGCCCTTTTTTGGTTACTGTTTCCTTGATATATTTTTTTCCATCATTTGATTTTTAGTATATTTGTGTCTAAGGTGTGTTCTTATAGACAGCGTATTGATAGGTCCTGTTTTTTTTTTTATCCATTCTGCCACTCTCTGTCTCTTTACAGGTGCATTGAAGCCATTTACATTCAGTGTGGTGATTGATAGGTATGAATTTATGGCTGTCATGTTGTTTTGCTTTTTTTTTTTGTGGTGCTGATGTTTTCTTTGTACCTCTTTCCTGTGCTGAGTTCCTTTTGCTTGTGGATTTTCTTTCGTTACAGATTTTATGTTTACAGAGACTTTATGTTTTTGTTCCTTTTTTTTTTCCTGATGAGTAGGTTTGTTAACTTTCTTTGTGGTTACCTTGAAATTTACCCTTATCTTCTGTCTTAGGCTAGGTTCTCTAGAGAAGCAAAACCAGTAAAGTGTATAAATATATATAGAAAGAGAGCTTTATATCAAGGAAACAACTCATGCAGTTGTAGAGGCTAGAATGACCCAAGTCTGTGGACCAGGGTAGAGGCCTCTTCCAAGTCACACAGCCGCAGAAACTGGCAAGCCCAAGATGGGCAGGTTGGAGAGCAGGGCTCCCACTCACAGGCTGTGCAGATCGACGAATCCCAAGTTCGGCAGATAAGCTGACAGCTCAAGTCCCAAGAACTGGAGATGAGGCGACAGGAGGCAGCCGCAGGATCCAGAGAAAGCAAAAAGCCAGAACATCTGCTTATATTCTGATGTGGGCCACACCCCCAAGGAGACTCCCTTTCATCTGATTGGCTACTCAGTATATTCAATCATGGGACTCACAGTATATTCAATCATGGGAGTGATCACATTAAAACACTGAGAATCATGGCCCAGCCAAGTTGACACATAATCTTAACCATCACATCTTCCTAAGTTTGAACCAATCTTTTATTACTTGATATCGCCTTGATTTCCTCTCCATTAGAAAGTTCTATACCTATACTGTTTATTCCCCTTTTATTGTTTTGACATTGTCATCATTTACAGATTGACATCTCTCTTTCCCTGTTTTAAGTCTTTTAGGTTTGTTTTATTATTGAGAGTTCTTTACCTAGGTTCGTATCTGGCTAAGGCTGTCTTGTGTCTTAGACTCCAGTTGTTGTCTGTTGTTGTTGATTCTCTTAACTGAAAGTCTCCCTTTAGTATTTCTTGTAAATTTGGTTTGATTTTTACAAATTCCCTTAATTTCTATTTATCTGGAAATGTCCTAGTTTAGCTACTGTATTTGAGAGAGAGTTTTACAAGATATATTATCCTTGGTTGGCACTTTTTTCTTGCCTGCATAGTTTCTGCCAAGTAATCAGAACTTAGTTTTGTTATTTCCCCTGTATAAGTAACTTTTCGTTTTTCTCGAGCTGCTCTCAGGATTCTTTGTCTTTGGTTTTGGCAAGTGTGATTGTGTCTTGGTGGCTTTCTTCTCGGGTCTGTCCTATACTGGGTTCATTGAGCTTCTTGGATGGCAGCTTTTCATCTTTCTTAATATGTGGGTAGTTTTCTGCCAGCAAATCTTCAACAGTTTTCTCTGTATTTTCCATTTTCTCCCCGTTCTGGAACTCCGATCCATGTTTAACTTTTTGATGAACTGCCAAACTATTCCAGAGTGGTTGTACCATTTTACATTCCCATCAGCAATGAATGAGGGTTCTGCTTTCCCCACATCCTTGGCAACATTTGTTAATATCGGACTTTTTTTTTTTTAAATGTCTGAGTTTTTGATTATAGTCATCCTACTGGATGTGAGTGGTATCTCATTATGGTTTCGATTGGCATCTCCCTGATGACTAATAAGCGTCTTTTCACATGCTTATTGACCATTTATGTATCTTCTTTGGAGAAATGTCTATTCATATCCTTTGCCCACTTTTTAAATTGGGTTATTTATCTTTATTATTGAGTTGTAGGAGTTGTTTATATATTCAGGTTATGAGTTATTCATCAGGTAGATGATTCTCAAATATATTCTCCCATTCTGTGGGTTGTCTTTTCACTTTCTTTATAGTGTTCTTTGAAGCACAAAATTTTTAAATTTTTATAAAGTCCAGTTTATTTTTTCTTTTGTTGTTGTGCTTTTGGTGTCATATCTAAGCATTGCCAAATCCAAGGTTTACTCCTGTGTTTTATAGTTTCGGCTGTTACATTTAGGCCTTTGATCCATTTTGAGTTGATTTTTATATATAGTGTGAGATAGAGTCCATGTGCATTCTTTTGCATATGGCTATCTGGTTGTCCCAGCACGATTTGTTGAAAAGACTGTTCTTTCCGGTTGAGTGGTCTTGGTACCCTTGTTGAAAATCAGTAAACCACAGACACATGGGTATATTTCTGCATTCTCAATTATGTTCTATTGATCTACGTGTCTGTCCTTGTCCCAGTACCACACTGTGTTGGTTACTGTTGCTTTATATTAAGTTTTTGAGAAGTGTGAGTTTTATAACTTTGTTCTTTTTAAAAATTGTTTTGTCTATTCTAGGTCCTTTGCATTTTCATGTGACTTAGGATCTGCTTATCATTTTCTACAAAGAAGCCAACTGTTGTGTTGGTCTTAAAGAGATTGCATTGACTCTTTATATCAATTTGAGGAGTATTGCCATCTTAACAATATTAAGTTCTCTACCTGTGAGCATAGGATGTCTTTCCATTTATTTAAATCTTCTTTGGTTTCTTTTAACTATGTTTTTTAGTTTTCACAGTATAGGTTTTGCACTTTGGTTAAATTTATTTTAAGTTTTTTTTTTGATGCTATTGTAAATGAAATTGTTTTAATTTCATTTGGGATTGCTTATTGCTAGTGTATAGAAATACAGCTGATATGTATATATATTGATCTTGTGTCCTGCAGCCTTGTTGAACTTGTTTATTAGTTCTGATGGTTTTGTTGTGAATTCCTTAACATCACACACCAGTTGCTGTTGTGTTGAATCCAGCGCATGGCGACCGCCTGTGTGTCAGAGTAGAACTGTGCTCCGCAGAGTTTTCAGTGGCTGATTTTTTGAAAGTAGATCACCAGGCTTTTCTTCTGAGAACATCTCTTGGTGGACTCAAACCTCCAACCTTTCGGTTAGCAGCCGAGTGTATTAACCATTTTGGACCACTCAGGGACTTTGTGGATTCCTTAGGATTTTCTATATACAATATTGTGTCCTATGCAAATAGAGGTAGTTTTGCTTCTTCCTTTCCAATATGGATACCTTTTATTTCTTTCTGTTTCTTTTTTCTTTTTTTCCCCGTAATTGCCCAGTCTGGAACCTCCAATACATTGTTGAATAGAAGTGGCGAGAGTGAACATCCTTTTCTTGTTGCTGGTCTGAATGGGAAAGTGTCCCTTCTTTCACCATTAAGTGTGATGTTTGCTGTGGCTTTTTTGTAGATTCCCATTACCAGGTTGAGAAGTTTCTTTGTATTTCTAGTTTGCTGAGTGTCATGGTTTGAATTACGTCCCCCCAAAAATCTGTGTACCAGTTTCGCTAGGCCATGATTCCTGGTACTGTGTGATTTTCCTGTATGTTGTAAACCTGCCTCTATGA